GGCTCCTTTGCTCTCTTCTTCCATTAGGCAACATGAAAAGTCTGTGTTCCTCTAAGACGTTCGGATTGATGAGGAATACACAGAGTAACCAAGGGAATTATCCATCAATCCATGAACCTGATGAGTCACCTTAATCCTTGAAGGTACAACAGTGTTCTGTTTTGGTTAGATCTGAGTGAGTTGTAGAACCAGTGCCTTACCCAGACTTTTTCAGACCATGTTTTCTAATTAACTATATATGCCCAAGAAAGTCTCTTTAATTTGAATTTACAGAATTTACCTGCAGATCTCCTGGACATGACTTCTCAATTTGCTTGGTGTGTATCACTTTCATTAATTTTACCATTCTTTATTCAGAGTCCTGTGACTACCAGTATTTTCATTTTATGTGATCTCAGGGGCTGCTTTCCAGCCGCGGTGAGAAATGTTTCACCAAATGCTGGAGCAAAGCTATGCTAGTCCTTATGGATGTTCTTCAGAAGAGCTGTTTTCACCCACTGACCTTAAATATCCATCCCATTACAAAGGACTCGGGATATATCATCATTTTGCACAGTATTATTAAGGAGTTTTAGCTACATTGAAATTGTTTGTCATCATATCTTTTTTCCCCCTAAATTCTTATTGCAGTGATATCTTAATATTTTTGATTGACTTTCGGTGTCTGATACGGGGATTTCAGCTCCTGGTTAGTCAGTCTTGCTGCTAAAAGGGTATGATGAAGTGATGTTCATTTGTGGTGTTTAAGGAGCATTTTAACTTTAACACTGAAAACTTCCAAGCACCAAGTTCTTAGGGGTTTACGGAGATCACCAGCCCATTGCATTACCTCTTAAACTTCATGGAAGCTTAACTACAGAGCAGCAAGCTGTGTAGCTTAATGTCACTTGGTGCTTCAGGGGCTCTGCCATCTTCCATTCCGGTGCTATGACAGTTTTTCTTCTAAATAATGGAGGAAGTGCTGGGGCACTGGAATGGCCTCTCCCTTTTTTGGCAACTGGTAAAGTCTTTCACAATCAACATGTTGTTTGGGCCACAGGAGTAGATTTGCAATTCACATCTTCAGTGTATGCATTAGTGTGTTGATTTAATATTTTTGTAATATTCACAGCCCTTTTATTCCTATGCACCTTAATGCTTCCTTCCTGTGTGAAGCCTTATAAATCATGTAACTCGGTGCCACGCATGTAAATCGGTACAATTACAAAGTCTATCTAATGAAAACGGTTATCAGTGTTGTATACTGAACTAGAAAAACATGAAAGGCCTGTCATTTTTTTCAGATCTCTTGGTTTCTTGAGTTAAAAATTCCAAAGTTGAAGCACAAAATGAGATGGAAAACTAGGGTTCTTTTTTTTGTTTTGTTTTTTAGAAGTTTAGATTTCTTCTAATTTCTCTGGTATCTTATTATATCTTCACCACCATGAGCCATGAAATTGTCTTCTAAAAAAAAAATGTGTCTTCTGTATCTTAACCTTCTTACTCTCAATCACTGTTGCAACACGGGTCAGCATTTTTAATTACGTTGTAGGAAAGGACCAAATCAAATACTCCCATAATAAAGTATGGGATAAAAATATCATAGCAAAATTAATAAAAAACCTTTATTGTATTCCTCTGGGAAATTTGATAATGTGATATTTGTATCCCATTTATATCTATGTTAATTTCATATTCAATGAAGAATAGAGCTCAAATTGGGTATTCATTGAAGAGAAGTATTAACAACCGTGAAAAAATTGTTGATTTTGTCTAAAGTGACATATTCTTAGTAAAATAAAATTTTCTTCTTTAAGAACCATTTGCTCCATTTTTGCATATGCATATTATTTAGAAAATATTCTTAAGCGTAACTTCTTTTAGCCTGACTGTATTACTTCTGAAGTTTTTTTTTTTTTTAATTCCTTGACTGACAATAGAAATAGTGTCCATTTTACAAAAGCGAGGAAATGCAGTTTAAAGAAATTAGGGGTTCCACAGGAGGGAAGTTACAGATGAGAATCAAGACTTGAATCTTGAGGTTCCAAAAGCTTCACCTCCATTTCCCTTGGATATACTTGGATATTTGCTTTTCACCTTCAGCTTCTAAGTTTCATGTTAAAACCATCACATTTGGGGGAAATTTGGACAAAATGTTTTTAAATCCTCAATATTTACAACCTACTATTAATTCAAATAAACAACTCCTAAATTACTCAGTGGGAGTAGTAACTCATCGTCATGTTTGTATTTAAATCTGATAAAACAGTTTAAAGCAGACTGTTATTTCCCCGTTGCCATTTGCAAAATCAGTTAATCTTAGAAAACTTTTAATAAAAGTATGTTCCTTTAGTGTTATTTCCCTGTGTCTTTTCTGAGTCATGTGGAGAATCAACTATAATTGAACAAAAGTGAGAAATGACCCTCTAAGAGTAGGATAGTATTTCCCCAGTAGTTTATTGGACACTTACTGCATATATGGTGTTGTTCGGGACGTTAGAAATACATGAGAGTAAAATGGAAAATGGGTTGCTATTTGTCCTCAGTGGACTAACTATCTTTTTGAGATGACAATGCATTTTACACATAGATATGTTCTTGTTGAGTGTGCTAAAACAGTGTGGGAGGTCAAGGTAGAGTGATACTGCTGATAGATGTAGATTAATTGGCATATTGTAGTCACATGAGGACAAGTCCTGGGTAGCATGTAGTAGAAAGACTGAAGAATGTTGGAAGGATAATTCACAACAGTTATCTAACATGTCAGAGCTTATTCCCAGGTTCTTTTACTTGAAACATGGAGCTGTCCGAGAAAGAGGAAGTAAAGAGAAGTGGAGGCAACTCTTCTTCTGTCAATTAAGCTTTCATTTTAGTGCATCTTTATTGAAAGGATATTATATGTGTGACATTAGCTCCCGGTGTAGGGCCAAAACTGTGTGCAAGCCAACCATTTGCCAGTCACCATAGATGATACAAAAATTACGTTTCTGCCATCTAGAAGTTTATGGATAGTAGGAGAACTTAGAGAAGTATAAAAATGACTAGTACAGAGTAGAGTGAGACAAGAATGAAGTCATAGGATGGGAAGTTATAACTCTGGCAAAGCGGCTAGAGCAGTATTTTGCTTCACCTGCCCTTCCAGAATCTTGCCACAACTTCACCTAGAGGCAGAGTCTGTTTTCCTTCTCTCTTGAGATTGAACAGGCATTTGTGGCTGCCTCTACCAATATAATGCACTGAAAGTGATGCTGGGTCATTAACAAGAACATTCCCTTGGTACCCAGTGGCCATGTTTTGAGGAAGCCCAGGCAAAATGAAGGAGCCCTGTGGAGATGTTGAAGCTGACAGGCAGCCACAAATGCTGGGCTTGTGAGTGAGAGAGCCCTCTGCTCATTCAAGTCTCCAGTCTTGGAGATGTCCCAGATGACCCCAAGTGGAGCAGAGTTCTGTGCATGCCCAGCCTACGTGTGTGTGTGTGTGTGTGTGTGTGTGTGTGTGTGTGTGTGTGTGTGATTTCAAAGATAAACAATGCCTCACACCAGGTAAAGTGGTCAGGACAGATTTTAATCAGCAGTATATTATTGCAGTAGAAAAGAGCCCAGCATGAACTGAACTCAACTTTGATTTGTACAGAGGGGACTGGAAATCTAAAGCAAAAACGACAGAACAGGGAGCAGGTGGGTGGGGCTCAAGAGTCAGGAAGTGAAAAAATGACAAAAAGCTTGAAGGAAGAGGGATTTGTCCGTGTGACACCAATCTGGGTTTGTTAATTGGTGCTTATGAAAGTTAGGCTCCTACCTTCCACGGAGGCTAGAAGACAGAATTAGTATCTTCAGGTGTTGGAACAAAGGGTAAATTCTTCGGGCAGTTTTGAGTTTTCACAGGCAGATTCTTTGAGGGAGGGCTAGGGTCACTTTCGGGACAGAGCTGTTAATCTCTGTTTAAGTCTTTATAGGACTGGGTAAAGCTTAGTGAAGAAAGGGCTCACAGAAGCCTGGCTGGAGTTTGGTCAAGGAGAAAATCAACTTTTCTCTGTCTCTCTCAAACACACATGAATCATTGGTTTCCTTCTTGGATGCAGATGAAGTCTTAGGACAGATCATTGGATTTGGTGTTATGGGTCATTAGTGAACTTTGAAATAGCTTGTTTCATTAGAAGTTAGAGCAGAAGTTACAGTAGGGGTTTAAAATTGACTTAGGAGAATACATTTGAGGGCCTTCTGTGTGTCAGTCTCGTCCTCTAATTTTCACACCTGTCGTACGTGTCTATTATCCTTATCTTACTGATGTACCTCAGAAAGGTTAATTGCCCAAAGCCATTCAGAAGAAAAGATTAAAATGCAGGCTGATTTCTTTTTTCTTTTTTTTTTTTTTTAAATTAACATACAATGTATTATTTGCTTCAGGGGTACAGGTTGCAGGCTGATTTCTAAAGACTGATTTCCCTTATGCCACTCTGTCCAAGAAGGGATAAGGGGGGACAAAACGCCGATCTTCGTCTTTCAGAGAAGTTGAAGAAGGAGCACACGTAATAGTGGGGAGTTCATAAGCTATTAATTATAGACAGATTATCACAAGATTTTTGACAACTTCCACGAAGTTCCGATAAGGCAGGAGCAAAATAAAAGGGCTGTAAAGGTCACACCAGGGATGCAACTCTGGCCCGCGACCCTCGGGCGGCCGCTTTGGCCGGGTCCTGGCCTGGGAGGCCGGGACCGGACTAGGGAGGTCGAGGAAACGGGTATTGCTTGACAGTGAGCTCGGAGAAGAGCTCAGACAGGAGAGAGCCTGGCCGCTGCAATCCTGCCAAGGCTCTTGAACTCCGCTGCGGAGCTGGAGAACGCCCACTGGCGCGCTGGCGGTGACCATGGCAACGCGCGGACGTCCGCCGCGCCCGCTGCCAACTGCCGGGCGCTCGTCGGGGGGCGGGGCCGGGCGGGGCGGGCGCGCGGGTCACGTGGCGCGGGGCGGAGCCTGCGCAGGGCCGGCCAGGATCGCGTCTGGAGCCGGCTGCGAGACCCGAGCCGTGGGACCCGAGCGAAGGCAGTTCCTAGGCCGCCGTGCCCCGCCGGGCCGCCCCAGCCACCGCCATGGGCAGTGAGTAGCGGCGGCGCAGCACTCGCTGGGCTGCCGGCCTTCACGGGCTGCGGGCGGCGGGGCGGGCGCCCGGCCGGGGTCGCCCAGCCTGGGGGCCGGAGGGAGAGGCGCGGGCCGCGCCGGGCCGCTGCGGAGAGCGCGGGCGGGGGGCCTCCTCCGAGGCTCCTTCGGCGGTGCGGCCTTTCCCTAGCCGCCTGCGGGGTCCGGGGCCCGGAGGTCCGGGGTTTGCGCTCGCTAGGTGGCGGGGAGCGGAAGACGGAGAGGGGAAGCCATTGGTTTTGGGGGCGGGGAGTTAGGGAACCGAGCGAAACCTGGACCACTTCTAATTTTTCAGGAGCTTAGGAAGCTCACATTTTTATTTCCAAGTCACCCTTCCTTGGCACGTTAGTGTGATGAATAAAGCTCTCTGACTTGTTGGATTTTTTTAAAAAAAGTGATGCACGGCATGTATTTTAGGGGAGGAAGAAAGTGCGATTGGCAGCATAGCGTTTTCCCTAAAATTTTCATTTCAGTTATTTTCTAGCGTTGACTGAAAACTCACTGTGTGTGAGGTTGTATAAGCCTTAGGGACAAGGCCTTGAATTATGGGGATCTTTGAGGGCTATCTCCTGAACATTCAACGCCCCGTGCATTCACGCATATACTTACATAGCTGTTGCCGATGTTTGTTGGATGAATGGTTAAGTGCAAACCTGAGCGGTGCATCCACTGGCCAACTAGTGAACATTTAGGAAGGAAATAGAGGAGACCCCTGACCTTGAATTCACATTTTAATCGGTGACATTCTGCAACGCAAGAATAGACAAGTGGCCGACAGAAGCATTGCTTGAACAGGAGCTCTCCAACACCAGTGATGGGACCATGCCAAGAAATCTGGGAGGGTGATTTGGATTGAGGTGGGACGGAAAGAGGGATAAAGGAGTCTAGGAAGTTTCCTGATGTGGTTGATAATTTGTGTTGCATTAGAGAAGAAAGCTTCTATCATTCACATTTTCCAAATAGTCCAAAATGGCACTTGGGCAATGAGTATCTGCCTGTGGGAATTTCTGAGTTCTTTCAAATGTCAGCGACTGCCATCATTTTGAGAAGTTTCATGAGAAGATTATATAGTCAGCTTTTAGCTCACTATGAAAGTGTAATTAGTTAGGTCAGTTTTAAAACAATTTCATGATCGGGGCGCCTGGGTGGCTCAGTGGGTTAAGGCCTCTGCCTTCGGCTCAGGTCATGATCCCAGGGTCCTGGGATCGAGCCTCACATTGGGCTTTCTGCTCAGCAGGGAGCCTGCTTCTCCCTCTCTCTCTGCCTGCCTCTCTGCCTACTTGTGATCTCTGTCTGTCAAATAAATAAATAAAATCTTTAAAAAAAAAAAAACAATTTCATGATGTTAGGATACAGACTGCAGTCTCTGTAGGAGATGATGATCATAACTAATACTGCCTTCTTGTGTTTCTGCACATTAAAGACGCTGGCAAAGACTGAGAGAATATCATCTTCATTCTCCAGTTCTTTGGCAGGAATTGACTTAAGCTATGCCAGAATATAGTGTCTATCCTTAAAGAACCTTGGTTTGTCTTACTTTGATATGTTATAAGTTATCTGGAAAAGCAGTACTTTCTCATGAAATGTCATGGTCATTTTCTGGGCTGATTATCATCCATACACAAGTACTTTGAGATCATTATGTGGGAGAGCAACCAAGCAAGGAAGGTTGATGTAAGTGAAATGAAATAGAGATTGTATACTTAAAAACAAAAACAAAACACACAAAACTCTCTGTGTAGAAGGTGAATCCATAATCTTTCTCACTTATGCATTTCAGGATCTTTTAATCTAAATTAAGTCAGTTCTGCAGTTTCAGCACATTTCCTCTTGCATTTCTCCTCTGATACATCTTATTTTCTTCTATAGTGCATTGTCATGTGGGTAATGTAGTAGACTGCATTCTCTCGCTCTTTCTTTCTTTCTTTCTTGATTTAGTGATGCTTATGAGAGTGTTCCTTTTCTGTATATATAAAAGGGCTGGATACCAACATGAGGAAGCAAAATCATGGCACAAGGGTATTTGCATTTGCTTCTATGGAGTAAACCCTTAAAACTTTTGGATTCTTTTGTCCCTTAATTATTTTTCTTCCCTGATATATTTGAAATGGAGAGCACTGTGATTACTTTGGAGGTGGGAATGGGATGAATTTTCATTAAAAGTTAGAGGATGTGGGCGCCTGGGTGGCTCAGTGGGTTAAGCCGCTGCCTTCAGCTCAGGTCATGATCTCAGGATCCTGGGATCGAGTCCCGCATCGGGCTCTCTGCTCATCAGGGAGCCTGCTTCCCTCTCTCTCTCTCTGCCTGCCTCTCTGTCTACTTGTGATCTCTCTCTGTCAAATAAATAAATAAAATCTTTTAAAAAAAAAAAGAAAAAAAAGAAAAAAGTTAGAGGATGTTTGTATTTGTTTCTATAAAAAGGTACATCTCTTTTTAAAAACTTTGTAACAGAGATGTTCTTTTTTTTCTTTTTACAGTCAAATTTTTAGAAGTTATCAAACCTTTCTGTGCAGTTCTACCAGAAATTCAGAAACCTGAAAGGAAAGTAAGTATAACATATTAGTAATATAGAGGGTAGCTAAATGACTTACTCTACTCAACTAGCAAGATTGATTTACTGTCCCCAACCCTTTTCTGGTACATTTGGAGAAATAGAACTGTTCTTCCTTGCAAGAGGTGCAAAGTAAGTAACACTAGTTTAAACCAGTTTAGATGGGTTATCCTGTTTTTTAAAAAGGACTGTTCTTTAAGTTGGGACATTTCCAAACCAAGTGTTTCTTTGGCCTATGTGTTAGATAAGATATTCTATCTCTAGGGACCCACTGCACTATGAATTACTCAATCTGCTGGGTCACTTTTGATGAGACAGTTGTTTTACCTAAATGATTTGCAGTTGTGCAAGTATATGCCTCCCATTTCTTGATCATTCAATACATGGAAAAATCACAGAAATGCATTCAGAAAATAATATGACTGCATCAATTTATTCTTCAATCCTTGTGCACTTTTGGAACTCAGGTATTTAAATTCAGTAATACTGTTAGTCCCAAACTGGCCAATTTCCTGACAGTCCTCTTCTGTGCTTTTGATATCTCACAAAACTAACAGAAATAGGTGTGTGAAACTTTTGTTAAACTTACTGTTTTATTTAGAAGTGTATTTTTTTTTTTTATGGCTATGTGGTTTTAAAAATAGTTGTTTCAGTTACATGTTAGGCATCCCGAGAAGCTCTAGCTTTTCATATTCCATAAGATATTCGTATAATATTATCATGGGCAGTCCCTGCTTCGCACAATGCTGTGTTAACTGAAATACATGCCTACTGGATCTGTGTCTTGCTTTTTATCCTTTTTGGTTTTCAGTTAATGTAGTACAGGGTGTTGAGGCCTGCCTGTATTTAATTTACTTAATTCTTGGAAAAGTAAAGAAGGTATGTTTGAAAAGTTGAGCTGTTTGCTTTAGCTGATACTAACTAGGTGAGAGTATTTTAATAGTAAATAATTGGAGCCTGCCATGATGCAGAATGTTATGCTTTAATGTGGAATTTTGCTTTGTATTTGCTGTTTCTTGGTTTTGATTGACCATTCTTATTTTGTTGTAGATCCAGTTTAGAGAGAAGGTACTATGGACTGCCATAACTCTCTTCATTTTTTTAGTATGTTGTCAGGTATGTAACCAAAATATTAATTAAATGTCTATGCTGTAGTTGGAGGGTTTTGATTGGTTATAGTTTGAGAAAATTTATTTTAGTTAAAATAATAGATAAATATAAATAGATTAAGTAGATAAAATAAAGCCTGAAATATTTTGAGCATTGTTATTTTTAATCTGAGTTGATGGTGAAAATGGTTCTCTTGTCCTACTGTGTATTCTTTTTTTTTTTTTAATTAGTCGGTTTGAACATTTTTTTTCTTTTTTTCTCTTAGTGTGCAGTTAATGTTCTTTACCCATTTTTTTCTTGAGGTTTTTTTGTATAAAGACAGATTTTTATATATAAAAGCATTAAACCTTTGACATATATGTTGCAAATTTTTTTTCTATTTTGTTGGCCTTTAATCATGTTGTAAATAGCATGTATTAATTTAAAAATCTCAAAAAGTCAAATTCTAGAACCCCAGTGATATACTGTATTTATAAGTAGATAAAATTCATTGATGCTTTTTATTAGTATTTTGCAGAGATTAAGTTCACAGAATGAGGGTAAAATGTGACCTGTCCCCGTCATAAGATTGTTGAGAGGATTAAACTAGATGCTTTAGGTGCAAGTTTTTTGATGATGGGGCGCCTGGGTGGCTCAGTGGGTTAAAGCCTCTGCCTTTGGCTAAGATCATGATCTCAGGGTCCTGGGGTCAAGCCCTGCATGGGGCTTTCTGCTCAGCAGGGAGCCTGCTTCCTCCTCTCTCTCTGCCTGCCTCTATGCACTACTTGTGATTTTTCTCTCTGTCAAATAAATAAATAAAATCTTAAAAAAAAATTTAAAAAAGAGCTATTGAAAATACATAAAAAAGGGGCGCCTGGGTGGCTCAGTGGGTTGAAGCCTCTGCCTTCAGCTCAGGTCATGATCCCAGGGTCCTGGGATCGAGCCCCGCATTGCATCGCATTGGGCTCTCTGCTCAGCAGGGAGCCTGCTTCCCTTCCTCTCTCTCTGCCTGCCTCTCTGCCTACTTATGATCTCTGTCTGTTAAATACATAAATTAAAAAAAAAAAAAAAGAAAATACATAAAAGGAAGTATGAAAAATTATATTAGGAAGGAGTAGAGCAGATTAAGTCCATAGTCTGGGGAAAAGCCAAATGTATTTTTTTTGAAGAGTGAAATAATTTGGTCATCAAGATATTTTACTGCTGTACTTAGTTTAAAATTGTTTTGGGTTGGTCAGGGAGAGAGAACCTTTTTTTTTTTTTTTTAAGATTTTATTTATTTATTTGAGAGAGAGGGAGAGTGAGAAAGCTTGAGTGGAGGGAGGGTCAGAGGAAGAAGTGGACCCCCTGCTAAGCAGGGAGCCCCATGCCAGACTGGGGACTCTATCTGAAACTCTGGGATCATGACCTGAGCCGAAGGCAGTGGCTTAACCAACTGAGCCACCCAGGCGCCTGAGAACTTTTTTTAAATACGGAAAAGTAGAGAGGAAAAAAAGAATAATTATCCATATTTTTACCAGCTACTTTTAACATCTTAGAAATTCCCCTCCCCTCCATAAAAAAATTAGATTTATAAAGGTATAATTTATGTATGGTAAAATACACTTATTTTTTAAGTGTACATTTTGAAGAGTTTTGACAAATGTAGACACCCACATACCTGCTACCTCAGGGGATACAGAACATTCTGTCACTCCAGAAAGTTCTGTGTAATCTCTTAGTCAGTCTCCCAACTCACCCCCAGTGTCAGGCAAGCACTGATCTGCTTTCTGTTCCTATAATTTGATTTGTTTTTTTAGAATTTCATCTAAGTGGGATCATGCAGTATCATTCCTTAGCTCTGGCTTTATCATGAGTATTTTGAGATTTGTCCCCGTGTTTGGTAGAGCAGTAATTCATCCTTCTTATTTCTACTAGATGACTGTACAGAATTTGTTCATCTGTTCACTTGCTGTTGGACATTTGGGTTGTTTCCAAGTTTTGTCTATAATAAAGTTGCTGTGACCATTCCTGGGCAAGACTTCCTGTGAATATTTGTTTTCATTTCTCTTGGGTGAATACCTAGGAGTAGAATTGGTGGGTTGCATGGTAATTACATGTTCAGCTTTATAAGAAATTGTCAAACTTTTTTCTAAGTGATTGCTCCATTTTTTATTTTCATCAGGCAGGTATAGGAGTTCCAGTTTCTCCCCTTCCTTGCCTGCCCTTCCTGTTGTTGAGCATTTTAGTATTAGTCATTCTAATGGGTGTGGTTTTTAATTTGCATTTCCCTAGTAAATGATATTGAGCAATTTTTTCATGTGCTTATAGGGCATTTGTTTATCTTCTGTGAAGTGTCTTTTTCCAATCTTTTGCTCATTAAAAATTTTTATTATTATCTCATTGAATTATATGCATTTTTAAAAGATTTTTAAAAATTTGAGAGACAGGGGCACCTGGGTGGCTCAGTGGGTTAAGCCACTGCCTTCGGCTCAGGTCGTGATCTCAGGTTTCCTGGGATCGAGTCCCGCATCGGGCTCTCTGCTCAGCGGGGAGCCTGCTTCCCTCTCTCTCTCTCTGCCTGCCTCTCTGCCTACTTGTGATCTATCTCTGTCAAATAAATAAATAAAATCTTTAAAAAAAAAAAAATTTGAGAGACAGAGAGTGAGCACTAGCCGGGAGGGCAGGGGGCGGGGGGCGGGTGGAGAGGGAGGAACAGAGGGAGAAGGAGAAGCAGACTCCCTGCTGAGCAGAGAGCCTGATGTGGGGCTCGATCCTAGCACCCTGAGATCATGACCTGAGCTGAAGGTAGATGCTTAACTGAGCCACCCAGGTGCCCCGAATTATATGCCTTTTAAAATATTTTCTGGATACAGGTCCTTTGTCAGGTAAATGTACTATGACTATGTTTTCCTAGTATATGGCTTGCCTTTTCATTTTCTTAATATCTTGTGAAGAGCAAAAATCCTTCCTTTGGAAGTTTAGTGACTTTTTTCTTTGATGGTTCATGGTTTTTGTTTTCTTATCTTCAAAGGTTGTGAAGATTTTTCTCCTGTATTCTTCTAAATATTTTATAGTCTTGGCTTATATGTTTTGGTCTGTGATCTAGTCCAAGTTAATTTTTGTGTATGGTGTAAGTAAGGTTTGGGTTCATTTTTTTCTGTTTGGATAGCCAGAAAAGGCTCTTCTTTCTCCATTGAGTTACTTTGGCATCTTTGTTGAAAATCAGTTAACTGTATAAGTGTGGATATATTTTTGTACTCTGTTCTTTTCCATTCATGTATATTCCATTGTTATGGTCACGCTGTTTGATTACTGTAGCTTTATATTAAGTCCTGTAATCAGGTCGTAAAAGTCTTTCAACTTTGTTTTTCCTTTTCACAATGGTTTTTGATTATTCTAGGTTTTTCATATTTCTGTATAGATTTTAGAATCACCTTGTCAATTTCTGTAGCTGGGATTATGATTTGTATTGCTTTGAATTTATAGATAAATTTAGAAAAAAATTACCTTCTTGACAATATTGAATTTTCTAATCCAAGGGTCAGCAAACATTGTTCTGTGAAGGGCTCGGTAGTAAATATTTTAAGCTTGGCTGCTAGAACCCAAGACCCGTAGGAACTGTGTTGCTCAAAAAGTGTGGTATTTCTCATGACTGTTTCATGCAATAAATTAGTTTATGTATTTTATGTTACTTTATTTTTTTTTTTTCCTGCAGCATAATTGCATAGTTGCCAAAGTGTGTTTTATGTCTTTCTCATGTTTAGGCAGTTCTGCCCAGTGCTGGTAATTTCTTGAATCTCTTTCCATTGAATTTCAGACAGGTTAATTTTCCCCTCCTAGCCACAGTTAAGGGGCTTGGGGTCTCCAGTTTCACCGAGTTTTCTTTAGCTGGAGGGAATGGTGGGATAAGCAGTGATAAGTGCAATAATTACTACGTGGGCCTGGCTGTCTCCTCTCCCGAAGTGGTTCTCATCAGGTGATTGAACAGGCTGTTCCATTCCTGACCTCACATCATTCCCTCATTCCCAACTCATGGTGACCCTGTTAATTGTCACCAGAAGAGAGCCCCATTGCTCACTTCTCTCATCTTTCATCCCTGCTGCTGTTTCTAGTCCCTTTAACCAAAGGAGACAAAAAGATAAGGCTATCTGTGCAGCCTGCTCCGCTCCAGGTTTGGAATGTTGTGGGAATTGTGAGGATTTTGTTGCCTTCCCATTGTGATGGCTGGAGCAGCTTCATGCTGGGCTCTTTGCTTTTCAGTTGTCTGCACTTTTCTCACCCCCATGACCACCAGTGCTTCAAGTTCATGATCCCTTTTCTTCTTAGGCTACTTCATGGATTTTTTATTCGTTTTCCTTAGTTTTTTTTTGTTTTTTTTTTTTTTAAAGTAGTCTCCATATCCAGCATGGAACCCAGTGTGGAACTTGATTTCACGACCCTAAGTTAGTTTCAGGACCTGAGCTGAGATTGAGTCAGATGCTCAACTGACTGAGCTACCTAGGCACCCCTTTTTTGGTTAGCTTTTTTCACTCTTGTTAGCTTCTACTATTTTACATGTTTAAAAAAGTGTGTTTTCTTATGCATGGGGGAGTTGCTGCTCAACTATTGTTGTACGTAAACCCATAGCTATTGATTTTACTGAGAGGAATAAAATCAGACATTGAGTTTAATAATCCAGTTGTCTTCAGGAAAGGAGGGAATGCCATTACTTAGGGCAGGTTGGCTGACTTTTTCTTGTTCATTGTCCCACAAATCATCTAATTGTGGAGGTAATGGCCATCTCTATCAGGTGCAATTAAGCGAAGTAATTTGACTGATTGACCTCTCTCCCACTTATGGAAGATTGTGATGTGGACTGTCCTGTAGTGTTAATTGGTTCTTATACACTAACTTCCTTCCTCCCTGTCTCTCATATTACCTGAAGAGTATCTGCAGCATTAGGGGACATAAAATATCCATGCTTCTTGCTTCACCAGCTTTGCTACCCAGCTAATAAATCCAGATGCCCAGAAAGGGTGAGAGGTTGACCAGACGGATTGTTCAGAATTGTTGGCAGCATCTTTTGCAACTTAAAAAAAAAAAAAAAAAAAATCAGCTTTGTGTAAAGGAGGTTTTTGAAATTGGAAATGTATTTTTCTTTGTGTCTGATCCCTGCATAGTAAGGGAAGAGGTATGACCAGGAGCTGTATCCTGAACATCGGTCATATAATAGGAAACATTCTGAAGTGAAGAGTTTCTTTTTCTTTTTTTTTCCCAATGAAAAAGTAGTATGTACTTATTATAGAAAATCTGATAAATGCTGAGAAGAATAAAGAAAAAGTCAGCCTTAATCCTACCAGCTACAGATAATTACTTTTCAGGATTTTAAATATTTACACTTAGTTTTATCTTTTACACATATTTTTACAGTATCAAACTTCCATTTATATAATTCTGTACCTTTTTTTTTTTTTAATAGCAGGGTTTCTCAACAATGGCACTGAATTTTAGGCCCAGTTAATTCTTTGTTGTGGGGTCATTGTAGGAAGTTCAGCAGCATCCCTGACCTCTATCCACGAGGTGCAGTAGCATTTCCCTTCAAGTTGTGACACCCAAAAATGTCTTTGGATAGTGCGAGATATCCTCTGGGGGGCAGAATTGCCCCAATTTGATAACCATAGTGTCATACTTGGTATTAAAACATAAGCACTTCTTTATGCTGTTACAAGCTTCTTTAAGCTTCTTTTTAGTGGCTGCATAATATTCACACACACACACACACACACACACACACACACATATAAAAAAACCTTGAGTCTAACATTGGAGTGTGACTGTGGCTGTCATTAGTACCCATAGCTTAGCGAAATTATTCTATGACTGGGTGGATATATCCTGTAATTTACTGATAGGGGTATTTTTTAACTGTAAAAAAAAAACCATAAAATTTACCATCTTAGCCATTTTTTTTTAAAGATTTTATTTATTTATTTGACAGAGAGAACGAGAGAGATCACAAGTAGGCAGAGAGGCAGGATGAGAGAGCGGGGGAAGCAGGCTCCCTGCTGAGCAGAGAGCCTGATTTGGGGCTTGATCTCAGGACCCTGAGATCATGACCTGGGCCGAAGGCAGAGGCTTTAACCCACTGAGCCACCCAGGCGCCCCCATCTTAGCCATTTCTAAGCATACAGTTCAGTAGTGTTAAGTGTATTCACATTGTTATGCAACAAATTTTCATCCTGATAGGTGTGTCTACTAGTAGATTTGTGTAAGTAGTGATTTCTGTTGTTTTTATTTTTGTTAAAAAAAAACTTTCCTTTTAGGACAGCTGGGTGGCTCAGTTGGTTAAGCCACTGCCTTTGGCTCAAGTCATGATTCCCAGGGTCCTAGGATCAAGCCCTACATCCGGCTCCCTGCTTAGCGGAGAGCCTGCTTCTCCTTCTCCCTCTGCCTGCTGCTCTGCCTGCTTGTGCTCTCTCTCTGTCAAAATAAGTAAATAAAATCTTTAAAAAAAAACCCCAAAACTTTCCTTTTAGGGTTCACTTGTTTTGTTACAGAACATTAGAAGTAGTATTTTTTTTTCTTCTAAGTATTACAAACATTAAGTAATTGAGTTGTGAATTAAGTTCCAACTTAATTTATGTAATACATTTTTAAAAACTGTTTTATGTAATATTATAGATACCACTGTTTGGAATAATGTCATCAGATTCTGCAGATCCTTTCTACTGGATGAGAGTTATTCTTGCATCTAACAGAGGTATGTACTTCTTTTTTGGTTGTTTGTTTGTTTGTTTGTTTGCTTCCATACTGGGCATTAGTACTGACATCAAGTAGATGTGAAAATGTGGAAACAACTATTTTGATGTCTACAGGGGTGGGGAGCGTATGGTAAAAGAAACTCGTTGCCTAGGAGAAGGGACCAACACGTAAATACTTAAAAATCTCTGTATATATTGTAATAATAGAAATATGTACAGAGTATAGATGTACAACAGAGAATGGAGTGGTAACACTGTCAGGAGCTTTGGTCCTCCATCCTTTTATGGGTCATATTTTCTTTGAGACTCTAATTAAATTTTTTTGGTACAATATTACTTTAATTTAAATTCAATTAGCCAAGGTATAGTACATCATTAGTTTTTGATAAAATGTTCAATGACTCATTAGTTGACTCTAACTCTATTAAATTTATGTATACTTTCCCAAGAAAAATTCATATATACTCACACGCACAGATTTTACATAAAACCTTTTGAGCTTCATGACCCTCTGAAGTCTGGTCCTTGCATTTCGCATGGGCCTGAAAGACCCTGATCTACAGTGTCAGAGGAGACAATACTGGTAGCATTTGAATTGGAGTTCAGTATGTGAAGGAAGTGATGGGAGAGGGAAGGCTGATCTAAAAGCCCTTGTGTGTAAAGCAGTGGCTAAAGAGATAGGTAGGTACTGGATCATGAGGGCTTTGTTGGTAATTTTTTTAGATTAAAATAGAAATAATGGTTAATCATTAAAAAAATGCACCAAAATTTGTATGCAGTTTTATATAAAGCTGAAAATGAAAGTCTTGCATCTCAGGGATAACTCCTGAGAAGATAATAGATTGGTGAATACATATCCAGACTTTTTCTCTGAATATATATTCACATATACAAATTTATATTTACTTGACCCTTGAACAATACAGGTTTGAACTGTGTGGGTCCACTTATATATGGATTTTTTTAAAAAAATAAATACAGTGCAGTGCTATAAATGTATTTTCTCTTCCTTAGGACATTTTTCATAACATTTGCTTTTCTAGCTTGCTTACTTACTAGCATATAACACTCACATAACATAAAAAATATGTGTTAGTTGACTGTTGAGGTTATTGGTCAGGCTTCTGGTCAACAGTAAGCTATTAATAGTTAAGTTTTTAGTTTGGGGGAGTCAAAAGTTATACGTGGATTTTTGACTGTATGGGGGGGTCAGTGGCTCTAACCTCTCTGTAGTTCAAGGGTCAACTGTGCTTGTTTTTCTAAACTAAAAAATAAGATAAATTATGTAACTATTCTACTTAGTGTGTTTACTCAATTTCTTGGATGAGTTATTTCAGTTAAGGGCCATATGCTATTCCATTATATGGCTCTACCATGAATTATTTAATCATTCAGGTCTTTTTTGTGCTAGGTGCTGAGATTAGAGCAGTGATTAAGACAGTGTCCCCATCATCATGGAGTTTATATTATTCTTTTTGGGGAGGTATCCTCTACATGAAGTACATTTTGGGTGAGGGGAGGGACATTTGCGCAGAGATCTACAGGACGCGAGAAGAAGGCCATGTGAAGATCTGGGGGAGGAACACTGTAGGGAATATAGCGTGTGTCCAGGCCCCGAGATGGGAGTATGCTGAATGTTCAGGGAAGGATGTGGGGTCAGTGTGGCTAGAAGAAAATAAGGAAAGGAGTAATGAGGCAGGACATGCAGATGAGTCCAAGAGCCAGATCATAAAGGGCTTAGAGACAAAGTAGGGAGGGTACTTCAAGTGTGATTCCAGGTCGTTAGTGTCCTCTTCTGTCACACATTTAACTTTTTCCCCCAATTTTGTATCATTTTAACCAGTGCTACCATGAATGCATCACTGTAATGCTACCTCCTATCATTTTTTAATAAATTAATTTCTAGAAGTTCTACTGTGCAAGATACAAAAACCTGAATTTTTGATAAATAATGCTAAATTATCTTCCAAAAATTTTGTACTATTTTATACACTCAGCAGTTGTATATGAGAATGTCATTTTTCTTCCATCAGTGGATATTATTAGTTCTTTAGTCTTTGGAAGTTGGACAGGTAAAAATTGGTACCTGTTATTTAATTTGTATGTTGGTCAGCTTGACCATCATCTTATATTTTTATTGAATATTTGACTTTTTTCTGAGTGGACTTGTTTTATGTAATAGAAAATTACTGACCAGTTTAAACACAAAAATGGAATTTATTAGAAAGATACTGATCATTTTTTGGAATCCATAGAGGGGGTAGAACAACTAAGCCTGGGCTGGGAGAGAAAACCAGGGCAGCTTTGGATCAGCAGCAGGGACCAGGAACCTTTTCTTTGGGATTTAGCTCCCCAAATTCCTGGGTTCTTTGCTTCTTACCTCAAAATTCCAAACTGTATGATTTATACCGGGCTCAGTCAGCTTTGGTTAGAGTTTCAGAGTTACGTAGTTCAGATTTGGGTGGGGGGGTTCCCCTCCTGGACTGTCAGTATTCCCTGAGAAAGAACGTTATTGGGAGCAGCCAAATTGTATTCTCTTTTTCCTTTTTAAATTTTGTTTACTATTGGTTTCTTCATTTTTAATTGATTTGTAAGAACTCTTTGCATATTAAAGATAAGAACTCTGTCATTTGTGCTCAAATATTTTTCTTTTAACTTTTATGCTGCTTTTTTTTTTTTTTAAACTTCTATGCAGTGTTTTACCACATGGAAATTTTGTAGTTGTATCTAACCATAGCATGTGTCTTTTCCATTGTGGGTTCTTAAGTTTTTTTGTCATGCTTAGAAAGGCTTTTTTTCTTACAAGATGATAAGCATACTCACTTGTAGTATTTTTGTTGTTTGTCTCATATGGTTAAATTTTCTGTACATCGGGGGCACCTGGGTGGCTCAGTGGGTTAAGCCGCTGCCTTCGGCTCAGGTCATGATCTCAGGGTCCTGGGATCGAGTCCCACATCGGCCTCTCTGCTCAGCAGGGAGCCAGCTTTCCCCCCTCTCTCTCTCTGCCTGCCTCTCTGTCTACTTGTGATCTCTCTCTGTCAAATAAATAAATAAAATCTTTAAAAAAAAAATTTTCTATACATCGGGCCTTTATTTTGATGTAAGTCATGAGGTAAGAAATAGAGGTGTGATTTTTTATAAATGGCCAGGCATTTGGTAGGTCAGTTTATCCTTTCCCTACTGATTTGAGGTGCCATATTTCCTATATGAAATTGTCATTAAAATTTGACTATATTTATTCTCAGACTAGATCCATTTGAAAGTTATAAATTTTTGTGATTTTATTTAATAAAAATGTTTACCTTCCTATTTCTTTATCTACTGGTTTTAACAATAAGAAATGTTACCTTTTACTGTTGAAGTATTTGACAAGACATGAAGAATCCTAGAATGGAATCTTTTCTCATATTAAGGGCACCTTTTCAACATTTATAAAAGCCAGGATTTAAGGTTGTGGTATGATAGAAAGACCAGTGAAAGTGTATTCTTGATGCTATAGAATTAATCATTTTACATGTTAACTTGTACACTTGGCATATTTGGTTTTCTTATTTTTCACTATAAGTACAGTATATGTTTTCCATAAAGAAAAACTTAAAAAATCAAGAGAGGCAAAAAGAAGAAAATAGTCTCACTGGGTAAAAATAACCACATCTTGACAATCAGACTAAAATATAGAAAACCACTTTTCCACTGAAGTATTAACTGGAATCAAACTGTAATACTAGTTTCCAAATTTTTTATTTTGCTCTCCATTATGGCATGAACATTTTTCATGCCACTAAATGTTCCACAACAGGAATTTAGATGACTCTCCATGTGTTTTTAGAATTTGAAGAGTCAGATAGTCTTAAATGTCATTTTTTATTAACTTGGTACTTAATTCTCAGGCTTGGTATGTATTTCTTGTTTTGCATTAAAATAAAATGTTCAGTGTAAGTTTTAAAAATAATGATTTGGACAGATATTTTGGAAGATATCTTTCAAAGGATTTCTTTAACATTTTAAGTTTAGAATTTACAGAAATTTACCTATTTTGGAAATAGTAATTTTGATTCAATGAGTTGTTGCAAGATTGTGTTAATAAATGAAGTAAATAAATGTGTTAATAAATTAATGTTTAAAGAATGAAAATCTGCCTGTTAACATTTGAGCCTGTATTTTAATAGACATAATTAAGGATTGTAACACTTGTAATCTACATTGGGTATAGGAAAGATTTACTTTTTTTCCTTCTCCTTTACAGGAACTTTAATGGAATTGGGTATCTCCCCAATTGTAACATCTGGTTTGATTATGCAGTTGTTAGCTGGAGCCAAAATCATTGAAGTTGGAGATACACCCAAAGATAGAGCTCTATTCAATGGAGCCCAGAAACGTGAGCTATTAATACAATTAAAGAGTTTTTTCCAAATTTAAGAATTTTGCGGTAAAGATGCTTTCCTAGTCTTTTTTGTCTTTGGTTGTAAGCATGTACTCCTTTTCCCCCAATTTTTATCAGTATTTGGTATGATCATTACCATTGGGCAAGCCATTGTGTATGTCATGACGGGCATGTATGGGGATCCTGCTGAAATGGGTGCTGGCATCTGTCTCCTTATCATTATTCAGGTAAGAAATCCAATTTTTCATCTGCAAATAACAAAAACAGTTTGACCCCTTTTTTTCCTTTCTAACAGTTCTTTAAGTGGTTGCTACATTAATTGTCCTCCTTTGAATTATTTAATTATAAGATTTTGATTATTGAAGTGACATATAAATTGTGTTGATATAAAAAATTAAAATTTATCTTAATAGCCTCATAGCTGCATAGTATAAGGAATTATGGATCAACTATATTTCACCAATTTTTAGATGCACATTTTTTACTTTTTGATGTCTTTGAAATCAGGATTTTTTTTTTTTTAAGATTTTTATTTATTTGAGAGTGAGAGAGAACAGGAGCAGGGGGAGGGGCAGAAGGAGAGGGAGAAGAAGCAGATTCCCCGCTGAGCAGGGAGCTGAGGCAGGGCTCTATTCCAGGACCCCCGGGGAACATGACCTGAGCTGAAGTCAAACACTTAAGCAACTGAGCCACCCAGGCGCCCCCAGGGTGTTTTTTCTTACAGTTGATGGTGCCGCGCATTTGCTATCAGCCAGGCAGTGGTTGTGATAGTAGTCATTGTGCGCATATGTGTGTCAGCTGCTTGGAGCTGGTCACATGTTCATTGCATCAGCTGGTTGTGTGCATTGTTGGTGTAACATGTTTTTGAGATTAGTTGCTGTTTAAAATGTCTGCAAGAGTGTCTGGTTTGTTATGGAACAGTCACTGTGTGTAGCTAAGACACAGAACAGGTTAGATGATAAAATCCGTGTTTAGGTCTAAAATAGCTTTTCTTATAAGTAGAAAATAAAATTTCTTTGTGATAAGTTATTGTGTCATAGTTTAATTGATGATATATTTTTTCTTTCTTAGTGGTGTATAAAATGATGGCATCATAAATATCTTACAGCCAGTAAAATACATGAACCTGATGAACCTGTATACGTATATTCTGTGGATTTTTAAAGTAGATCCTTTGGAATTGAACTTTTATTTTTTTTATTTTTATTTTTTTTAAGATTTTATTTATTTTTTTGACAGAGAGAGAGAGAGAGAGGGATCACAAGCAGGCAGAGAGGCAGGCGGAGAGAGAGAGAAGGGGAAGCAGGCTCCCCTCTGAGCAGAGAGCCCGATGCGGGGCTCGATCCCAGGACCCTGAGATCATGACCTGAGTTGAAGGCAGAGGCTCAACCCACTGAGCCACCCAGGCGCCCCTGGAATTGAACTTTTAAAGGCCAATATAAAATTATCCCAGGGGGCGCCTGGGTGGCTCAGTGGGTTGAGGTCTCTGCCTTCGGCTCGGGTCGTGATCTCAGCGTCCGGGGATCGAGCCCCGCGTCGGGCTCTCTGCTTGGTGGGGAGCCTGCTTCCTCCTCACTCTCTGCCTGCCTCTGTGCCTGCTTGTGATCTCTGTCTGTCCAATAGATAAACAAAATCTTAAAAAAAAATTATCCCTGTAATAACTGTCTCAGAGTTGTCAAAGTTAGAAGATACTTCTCTAATGTACAGTCCTTAGAAGTCATTTAGAGAGGCTATCCACTAAGGGATTGTACTTAAGTTACATAGTAATTATTTATGGGATTTTGACAAGAAGTTTAATAAACCCAACATCTGGAGTCCTGGTTATTTTAGAAATGCCTCTTCTTGCTCAGTCTATGGAATTAGGATTCACTTAGGAACATTTTTTTTTAATGGTCAGAGCATTAATTTCAGAAAAATATCATTAAATAAAACTAAAATACCAACTTATTAATATATACATTGAGATTTCAGATTGGCATGGTTGACCATTTTTTAATGAGAAACCTTTATAAGAAGCACAATAAGATCTTGTGCATATGATTAGAGCAAAGAGAATTAGGTTGTTCAAGTAGTTATTGGTGTCATTACAACAGGGAGGGCTCTTCTAACTAGATGGAAATATTTTGTCTTTTGACCAGGTAAGGAATTTTTAATGTGTTAGCAATCTTTGGTAGGTTTCTGAGCTCTAGTGTGTTCCCATAATGTCCTTACTTCTCCATTAAAAAAAAAACTGATTGGCAAATTTATAACCTTTGAGAATTAGAGGAAGCAGTGTAGCAGTGGCTTGGGAGAGAGGAGCCTCTGAAAACTGATTTATGTGTTTCAGTGCTTAGGATCTCTCCGCGTGCTTTTGCCATTGTTGAGGATACTGATGCGTCAGTTCTTGTCCTACTTTGTTTCCTTATAGCCTTTGCTTTATACAACTTGTAGTTCAGAATAGCTCCAATTTTTATTTTTATTTTTTAAAGATTTTATTTATTTGAGTGAGAGGGAAGGAGGGAGAGAGAACGTGAGCACAAGCAGGGGGAGGGGCAGAAGGAGAGGGAGGAGCAGACCCCTGCCAAGCAGGGATCATGACGCCAGGACCCTGAGATCATGAAACCAGGACCCTGGGATCATGACCCGAGCCAGAGGCAGACACTTAACCAACTGAGCCACCCAGGCACCCCCAGAATAACCCCAGGTGTTAAAAGACACTTGGTTGGCACCTAGCTCTTAGAACATTATGCTCCAGTACAATTTTTCTAGTATTTTAGTAAGGATAATTATGGATTCTTCACTTGATCTTAGCCAAAAGGCCGAGAAGCGATATGATTTTGGATTCTTGAAGAACTTCATCTGACCAGGTCTGGGTTAAAGCATTGACTCCTGTGCAGTTGTTACAAATTTGAATTTGAGATAAAACAGAGTTAAGCTATTTTAATTTTTACCCCCCAGTATCAGAAGTCAGGGAATAGTTATATACCAGGAATGAAATAAATGGATATATACTTTTTTAAAAATAGAAATTCTGGCATACAAATACTTGTGGTTAGTTCTTTCAGTGTTAATGTATAGAGAAATGTGTTTGATGATAGGTAGGTAGTGTGTCTTTAAAGGCATTGCTAACATTGAAAATGTATGGATATGCTAAAGAGAGATAATTGGATCAGTGTGCTTCACCCAGAAACATGGTTGTGAAAACTGTTTGCATGTTGTTAGGTAAGGTGTTTCTTGCCTTAATTATTCTTGTTTCCTTCATGTGGTCATGTCTTTCAACTAGTGAGATTTGAAATCTAAATAGTGGATCTTGATTAAAGTAACAGAATAGAAAATACCAGTGTGCATGGCACACAGGAAAGGTAAGTGTCGTGTTGTACATTGCGTGCGTGTGTGTGCATGCACAAGCAGAATTAAAATGTAGAGAGTTATTTTTATGCCTTATTTAGAGATTTCTACCTCTGACACATTGCACAAGCACGTGCAGGTAGCATTGAGTCTCTGTCAGCATCGTAGTCAATGAGATGCTCTAGCTTCTTGGTTTCTCGGCATCTCCCACCTCAGTGGCATAGTTCACATGCTTTTTACAGTCCTTTATCTTATTCTTTAGATTATAGAAACGATTTCTCATTTAGACTTCTCTGTAACTCCTTTCTCTGGTTAGAAAAATGTGAGTTTGAATTTCACAGGACATACATGAATCACTCTGTAGTCCGATGGTTATTGGTCTGAACAGGCAGCTTGGAGAATTACAGGTCTTTCAGAGTGACTTTATGACTCTAGAAGGTCATTTAATCAGAAGCCCATGATCATACTTTCTGGTGGGCTGGTAGTTTGAGGACAGCGGTTAGTCCCTGCACAAGTTTGGTTTTCTAATTGGGAGTATTTATTTACTTTTTACATAATTGTGGTCAAATTAAAATCTCAGTACTAAGTCCTAACTTCTCTTTTATCTTGTCAAAGTGTTAAGCTTGGTTTTCAAACAGTAAAGGATTCATGAGCATTCTTAGAAGTGAAGAATTGCACCCTTTTTCCAATCCTTTGAAAGTCAAGCTAAAAGACTGTAATAGACAGTTTAGGCTCTGTACAACCACCGAAATGACAGTTAAGGGAAAAAAAAAACTGCTGAAGGTAAGCATGCTTAAAATGGTGTACTGTAGTTTGCTCCTTTTGTGACGGGGGATATCAGGTAAACTGAGTAAGTAAGAGGGTGGGAGGCTGCAGAGCTGGGCAGAATGGAAGTGGCATTTCCTCACTTATGTAGGATGGGGTTTTTAAAATGGGGACAGGTGTGAGGTTCGAGGCCTAGAAACATCTTTTCTTTCCCTCTTGATCAGGTTATTGCAGTGCAGGGAAGATGTGACTGTGGAGGTCACTTGCAAGGCTATGGATTATTATTATTATTATTATTATTTAAAGATTTTATTTACTTATTTGACAGAGATCACAATTAGGCAGAGAGGCAGGCAGACAGAAAGAGAGAGAGAGAGGAGGAAGCAGGCTCCCTGCTGAGCAGAGAGCCCGATATGGGGCTCGATCCTAGGACTCTGGGATCATGACCTGAGCCGAAGGCAGAGGCCTTAACCCACTGAGCCACCCAGGCGCCCCGCTATGGATTATTTTTAATTGGTGTATGCTTTTACAGAAATGTCTTCTCCAAGAAGAAAATTAAGAATTTTCAATTTCACATAAACTAAAGTTTTTATGCTTTTATTTTTAAAAAAAAAAGAATGAGCTTAAGAACCTGGCAAATCCTTGTCTTCAAATTTACATTCAGTCTTTGTCACTGTATGTATGGAGTGCATTTTTGACATTGTTATAATCTCTATACATATTAATTTGTGCTCTTTTTGACTTATTCTCTCTATATATTATAGGTGAGCCTTAACACAGTGGTTGGGGTGCTGACCCCGCTCATGCAGTTGTAAACCACATATAACTTTAGACTCCCTCAAAACTTAACTACGAACAGCCCACTATTTACCTGTAGCCTTGTCGATAGCATAGGTGGTTGATTAACACACATTTTATATGTTATATACCATATTTATACTATGTAGTAAGCTAGAGAAAAGATGTTATTAAGAAAAGCAGAAGGAAGAGAAAATACATTTATAGTACTGCAGTGTATTTATAAAAAAAAAAAAAAAAAAACCAAACCTGTGTATTTGTGGACTTGTGTAGTTCAGACCTGTGTTGTTCAATGGTTAACTGTATATGTAATATAATTACTCAAGTATTATGCATAATACCTTAAAAATGTATCAGCATGGTTTACATACTTTTCCTTTAGTGGCAGTATGCAATTGTGTCTTGTTATTATACCATATTTCATTTGGTCTTTCACTTCCTTGGAACTACTTGGAATGTTTTCAGTGTTTTGCTGTCCTAAATTGAACAGGTTTGAACATTGTTGCTTTAGAGTGCTTTTAATAGGCCTTACTTAAACATTGTACGAAACACTATTCAGATGGTTTATAAAAAATACTTTAAAGGTTTAAATGTCTGCTTTATAATGTAATGATGTTTCTACCCATCTGATTTGCAGAAATGACTTCTGACAAAAGTGGGGTTTAAAAAGATGCAGAGAGTCGTAACAGTGATATTGCAACAATTGGGTTTTACTATTAAAAATGCCCATACTTTGAAAATAGTCAATGGTGTTCACCTTCCCCTTTCTTGAGTTTATTCTTGCTTCAGCTTACTTGCATTTCTTTCCCCACAGTTGTTTGTTGCTGGTTTGATTGTGCTGCTGTTAGATGAGCTGCTACAGAAGGGTTACGGCTTGGGGTCTGGTATTTCCCTCTTTATTGCCACCAACATCTGTGAAACCATTGTCTGGAAGGCCTTTAGTCCCACTACTATTAACACTGGCAGAGGTACATAGCACAGTGACTGCAACTGCACGAGTTTTGCTGGATGTGTGCTGGAAAGTAACCCATCACGGAGCAGGACGTGCCTGTAAACATCCTGGTTTGCTGTCCCAGGGGACATCTGGTGCTAATTGCTCAAGAGTTAAGCAGCAGAGTTTGTGGAGTATGAAATAGTACTTCAGAAAGAATCATAGCTAAATATTAGCCTCTGCTCGTTGAAAATTTCAGTGGTTGCAAACAAGCTTTTTAAAATGTTACTTAAGCCATTGCCGCAGAAGTCATTGATTTGACTGATTTCCGCATTTCCAGGGGGAGGAAAAGGTAGTGGATTAAGATTTTTCAAATGAAAACACTATTATTTATTGTATCATCAGGGAGCACTAATACTTTTGCTGCCACTCTCCTTGGCTTTCAGAAGCAACTAAATTTTGAAATCCTTCATTCTGTCTTTCCCCTTACCCATCTCCATTTGTCTCTGATGCCATCCAAGCTTCATAACAGTTAACGTCTAAACTGATCCCAGCCTTAAGAAAAGAGCAATGATGGCTTTATTAGTATTCTTGGTAAAATAAACTTAAAAGCCAGCTCGATAGAGTGACATAGATTTTTGATTCTGACATCTTTATTCTGCTTTGCTGCTGCTTTCCCCCCTCCTTTTCTCTTCCCTAAAGTAAAGGAGAGGCAAATCATTATGACCTAAATATTTGCTTAGGCTTATTCTCCTTTAGCTGTTTTCATCAAGAATAGTCTCTTGAGAAAACTTGAGATTTGTGCTAAAAAAGATATATTTGCCTCCATGATGTAAAGATTTTTGGAAGCCCCACACATGGCTGATTTATAGAGTAAACATTGATGAATGATTTTGACTCCTGTTTTTGCCATGTACTGGAGTTTCAAGGTTATTTGTTTGATCTTAGGGAGAGCTCTGGAGAAAGAGTCTAGTGAATTTGTTTCTTGATTTATCAGGTACCGAGTTTGAGGGTGCAGTCATAGCGCTCTTTCATTTACTGGCCACCAGGACAGACAAGGTCCGAGCTTTAAGGGAAGCTTTCTATCGTCAGAACTTACCCAATCTCATGAACCTCATCGCTACAGTCTTTGTGTTTGCCGTTGTTATATATTTTCAGGTACGTATACTTTCTTCACCAGAGTCAGGGGGATGTGGATTTTTATTTTGCTTTTAAAGAAAAGAGTGCTATTTGAAGTGTCAGTATCTGACAAGTCAGTGTTGCAGAGTCTAGTCAAGCAAATAATTCTGTTCTTTCAACTGAGGTGCAAAAATTGGTGGTGATGGCATAGAACAGGAGTTACATTTCAGTGTGTGTGTGTATGGGGCAGGGAAAATGTTACTGTTGCTTCTCACATTCCCCACTGTATTGTTCTGCCTGTCATCTGTGTTCTTTAGTTGAGATGTGCAGTTACTCTTACTTCCTCTTCATTTTCATTTTTCAGGGATTTCGTGTTGACTTGCCCATCAAGTCAGCCCGGTATCGAGGACAGTACAGTAGCTATCCCATCAAGCTCTTCTACACCTCGAACATTCCCATTATTCTCCAGTCGGCCTTAGTGTCAAACCTGTATGTTATTTCCCAGATGCTGTCTGTTCGATTTAGTGGCAACTTTTTAGTAAATTTACTAGGACAGTGGGCTGTGAGTATTTTGTTATTTATTCTAAGCATTCATATTTATTGTAACTTGCATTTCATGGTTATATTTCGTAACTGAAAGAGATGAGCCATAATTGAAGCAGTTGCTATAACATTTTCAGATTCACTTACTTGTTGCAGAGTTTATCATTTCTTTGGAAAGATGTTTTACCCCCATTTTTCATGGCCTGAGTGGCAATAAACTAGTTGTGATTAACTGGGCTAGAGAGAGGCATGTGATTACTAGACCGGAGAGAGCACAGAGTTACTAGAAATAGAATCCAGGACTTTCTGACTTCCCTTTATAGATCCTGTCATCATAGCTTCTTCCAAAGCAGTCCAGCCCTGTTGTTACTGAAGTGTGAGTTATTGTCGGATCGAATTTTAATTGGTTTAAATTCTGTCATATGACAAAGGAGCATTTTTTCCTCTTTTAAAACTATAAAATTAAAAGAGACCATGGTCTTTTATTCTTCTTCAGAATACGTAGTTGTATAATTTGTATTTCACCAACTGTTATTTTTTATAGTCACTGTTTCTGAAATGTGCTTATTCTATGCATTTATCTTCATATGCTCCCTGTTACATTGTAAGTTACAGTGACAGATCTTTCTGCTTCTACAATAAAGGTCATTTTTTTTCTTTTTTTAAGGTTTACAGGGCAAGACAGTAACTCTTGAGTGTTAATTGAAGGAAGTAGGATTCTGTTTATCCACAGTACTCTTTCTCCATTCATGTAATGGAAATGTGATTACCTGTAATGAGGGAAGATGTGGTCCTTCCCTTTGTGAGCTAATAATCCATCAGAAATTATGACTGTAATAATTTAATAGCAGTAAATGTATTGAGTGGTTTGTGTATAGATTGTGTTGTGATCTTAACTAAGTTCCTTTTTAATGAGAGAATTACTGGGAAATTGAATTATGTCTATAAACAATGCTTTTGATTGGGGATTAGTGATTCTAGGGGCACAGTAAAGAAATCATCTTGAAATGTATATTCAGGAACCAGACATTTTAATCATTGCAGGCAGAAATTGCTTTCCCACCCCTTATGCCCAAAAACTTAACACTGTTCCCAGTTCTGTTTGTATAAAAATTCTTAAATGTTGGTCTGGATAAAAATCCTATTATAAATATTAAGGGACTGTTTCTTATAGTGTATAAAATGTATAAAGTTTAGGCAGTTATTAGTCATCTGGCAATATTATTGATAATTTGATTGTATTCTTCATAGAATACTTTGAAGTGAAAGGATATGTTGCATACTCTTGTATAGTGCAGAAAGTTTCAGATTCTACATGTAATCAGAGAGGGACTGTAAATGTCATCATATTCCTGTCTTTAGGAAAAAAAGGAAGGTTTTTTGTAAATGTATTACAATGTTGGTTTTTAAAAGAACATTCTTCTATTAATAATATAGTCACAATGTCATTTATTTAGTTATTTATTATTTGACAGACAGAGATCACAAGTAGGCAGAGAGACAGGTCGGGGGAGGAGGGGAAGCAGGCGGAGCCTGATGTGGGGCTCGATCCCAGGATCCTGGGATCGTGACCTGAGCCGAAGGCAGAGGCTTTAACCCTCTGAGCCACCCAGGCACCCCCACAATGTCTTTTATATAGTAGATGCTCACCATATAATTTTGAAGGAGTGAAGATATTAGACACAAAAGTAAATCTTTAAGTTATATAGAATCGTTAGCTCTAGGGGCTTTGAGTTGAAAGCATTGCCGTAATTTTTTGAGGAGTTTGAAAAGTCATAAAAATGTTGGTTTCACCATCTTTCCTTTTTATTCTTGTTCTGTAGGATGTCAGTGGGGGAGGACCTGCTCGTTCTTACCCAGTAGGAGGGCTTTGTTACTATCTTTCTCCTCCTGAGTCCATGGGCGCCATATTTGAGGATCCTGTCCATGTGGTTGTTTATATCATCTTCATGTTGGGATCATGTGCATTCTTTTCTAAGACATGGATAGAGGTGTCTGGTTCCTCAGCCAAAGATGTAAGTATTTGTTGTATTTGAAAATAAACGTTTTTAATTTCAAAGTGGTAATTGAAACACTCTTTTTTTTAATTAATTAATTAATTAATTAATTAATTTTTTTAATAAACATATATTTTTATCCCCAGGGGTACAGGTCTGTGAATCGCCAGGTTTACACACTTAACAGCACTCACCATAGCACATACCCTCCCCAATGTCCATAACCCCATCTCCCTTCTCCCAACCCCCCTCCCCCCCAGCAACCCTCAGTTTGTTTTGTAAGATTAAGAGTCACTTATGGTTTGTCTCCCTCCCAATCCCATCTTGTTTCATTTATTCTTCTCCTACCCCCTTAACCCCCCATGTTGCATCTCCACTTCCTCATATCAGGGAGATCATATGATAGTTGTCTTTCTCTGATTGACTTATTTCGCTAAGCATGATACCCTCTAGTTCCATCCACATCGTCGCAAATGGCAAGATTTCATTTCTTTTGATGGCTGCATAGTATTCCATTGTGTATATATACCACATCTTCTTTATCCATTCATCTGTGGATGGACATCTAGGTTCTTTCCATAGTTTGGCTATTGTAGACATTGCTGCTGTTTATGTAGACATAAACATTCAGGTGCACGTGCCCCTTTGGATCACTACGTTTGTATCTTTAGGGTAAATACCCAGTAGTGCAATTGCTGGGTCATAGGGTAGTTCTATTTAGTTGGGTCATAGGGTAGTTCAACATTTTGAGGAACCTCCATGCTGTTTTCCAGAGTGGTTGCACCAGCTTGCATTCCCACCAACAGTGTAGGAGGGTTCCCCTTTCTCCGCATCCTCGCCAGCATCTGTCATTTCCTGACTTGTTAATTTTAGCCATTCTGACTGGTGTGAGGTGGTTTGAAACACTCTTAATTACTTTTGTAATTTAAGCTTTTAAGTCATACATTCTTAATAATGAGTTAATATATCCCTAGGGGGTTAAAAACTGGTTTCTGGAAGGTGGAAAAATTCTTTGATTTTTAGAGTGGTTTGTGACTCTCCAAAGCTGAACCCTTCCCAACAAATTCTTACTCCTTAGTATTTAATTTCTGTTTTAGGGGGATGATAAATAAAAGACTGAGAAACACTGGTTTAATGTGTGGGTGATAGGTGGTGTGCACCACTGAGCCTCAGATGTAATGGGAATGATATGACAGTGCCTACTTAAGGGTCTTTATTTGATTCATTGGTGTGTGGAAAGCACTTTGCACCTTGTAGTTAGTAAATTGAAATATTTACAGTTCGATTTTCAAAGTTGTTTTTCTCTTGGCAGGTAGCTAAGCAGCTTAAAGAACAGCAAATGGTGATGAGGGGCCACAGAGATACCTCTATGGTTCATGAGCTTAATAGGTAAGGTCACGAAATTTAATCCTTAATGTGTGTATGTGTATACACATGTATTTGGTTTTTCAATCTTTAATTTATTGTCAGATGTTATCCTGTTTGCATATGAATCATTTTTCTTCTGTTTCACACAGAAGAACCAAAATTTAACATAATACTGAATTGTTCTCTAAAATTGTTCCCCATCAAAATTGACATCTAAATTATTTTTTAAAATTGTGTTCCCTTCACTGCTCAGCCCAGTATTAAAATGTTCTTGATGGGAGGTCCTCATTGTCTGGCTGCACATAAAATCCCCTGGGAGCTTTTAAAAAGTCCTGATATTCCACCTCTAGGAATTGAGATTTATTTGGTCTAGGGTGGATCCTGTGCATTAGTTTATTTTTTGATACCAGCTTTATTGAGTTATAATTCACATACAAATGTATTTATTCATTTGAAGTATACAGTTTAGTGTTTCTGTTTTTAGTATATTCAGAGTGTGTAATCATTACAATGTAATATATTTTTATTTATTTATTTATCTTAAAGATTTTATTTATTTATTTGTCAGAAAGAGTGAGCACAGGCAGACAGAGTGGCAGGCGGAGGGAGAAGCAGGCTCCCTGCCGAGCAAGGAGCCCGATGCGGGACTCCATCCCAGGACGCTGGGATCATGACTTGAGCCGAAGGCAGCCGCTTAACCAACTGAGCCACCCAGGCGTCCTCATTGCAATGTAATTTAAAAAACATTTTTGTCACTGGAGTGCCTGGCTGGCTTAGTCAGAGGAGTATGTAACTCTTGATCTCAGAGTTGTGAGTTTGAGCCCAATGTAGGGTGTAGAGATTATGAAAAAACAAAAGACAAAAAACAAACCCAACCGCACAAACATAAAAAACAAACCAAAAACATTTTCTTTACCTAGAAAGAAACCTTATACCTATTGGTTATTTCCCATTCCGAGCTCATCCCCCACCCCTGAGCCAACTTTTTACTTTTGATCTCTACGGATTTACCTATTCTGGACATTTTATATAAATGGACTTGCAGTCTTTAGCGAAGCGCTTTTTTCACATAGCGTAAGGTTTTCAGAGTTCAGGCATTATTTGTGAGCAATATTCCATTATATGGATGTACTATACTGCATTTGTTCATCCGTTCATCAGTTGATACAGATTTTGGTTGTTTCCAGTTTTTGACTATCATGAATAAGGCTTTTAAGAACATATTTGAACATGGTTTGTGTGGACATGTTTTCATTCCTGTAGGAATGGAATTGTTGGGCCATCTGGCAACTCTGTGTTTAACATGTTGAAGAACCGGCAGGCTGTTTTCCAGCGTGGCCATACTGGTCTGCATGCCCACCTGGATGAGGCTTCCAGTTCACATCCTTGCAAGCACGACTTCTTGCTTTTTGATTATAGCCACCTAGTGGGTACGAAGTGGTAGCTTTTTGTGGTTTTGATTTGCATTTCCCTGATGAGTAATTACATTGAACATCTTTTCATGCGTTTAGTTAGCTATTTGTGTATCTTGTTTGGAGAAGTATCTTTTCAGATCTTTTGCTCATTTTTTTTTTTTTTAAAGATTTTATTTATTTATTTGTCAGAGAGAGAGAGGGAGAGAGAGCGAGCACAGGCAGACAGAATGGCAGGCAGAGGCAGAGGGAGAAGCAGGCTCCCTGACGAGCAAGGAGCCCGATGCGGGACTCGATCCCAGGACGCTGGGATCACGACCTGAGCTGAAGGCAGCTGCTTAACCAACTGAGCCACCCAGGCGTCCCTCTTTTGCTCATTTTTAATTGTGTTGTCTTTTTGTTACCGAGTTGTAAGATTCTTTTTTTTTTATTTAAGATTTTATTTAGTTATTTGACAGATCACAATAGGCAGAGAGGCAGGCAGAGAGAGAGGGAGAAGGAGGCTCCCTGCTGAGCAGAGAGCCTGACGTGGGGCTCGATCCCAGCACCCTGAGATCATGACCTGAGCCGAAAGCAGGGGCTGAGCCACTGTAAGATTCTTAAAAAAATATTTTGGATATGCCTCTTCTCAGGTTTATGATTTATAAATATCTTTCGCCATTCTTTGATTGTCTTTTCTCTTTCTTGGTGTCCTTTGATGCACAAATTATTTTGATGAAGGTCAGTTTCTCTTGGTTTCTTTGTGCTGCTCTTAGTGTTTATCTAAGAACCCATTGCCTAACCCAAGGTCACAAAGATTTATTCTTGTTTTCCATTAGGAATCTCGGCTCTTATATTAAGGTCTTTGAATTGCCTTGAGCTAATTTTTTTTGTGCTTAGTGTGAGATAGGGATCCAGATTTCTTTTTGTGCATGTGGATATCCAGTTGTCCCAGAACCATTGGTTGAAAGGCACTTATATTTTTATGTAAACTTTTAATTTAGATTGTATGTTGCAGAGGGTAGTAGAATGAACCTCTAGGTGCCCAACTTGTGTCCAGCTTCAGTGGTTAGCCTCAGTCTGCCATTCCTGTTCATCCACAATCTCCCTCAGTCTTTTTTCCCCCCTTCTTTTTAGAGTATTTTAAACACAATCCCATTGTTTTTAAGAGTTCTTCAGGTGGGGCGCCTGGGTGGCTCAGAGGGTTAAAGCCTCTGCCTTCGGCTCAAGTCATGATCCCAGGGTCCTGGGATCAAGCCCCGCATCGGGCTCTCTCCTTGGTGGGGAGGCTGCTTCCTCCTCTCTCTCTCTCTGCCTGCCTCTCTGCCTACTTGTGATCTCTCTCTGTCGAATAAAAAAATAAAATCTTTAAAAAAAAAAAGAGTTCTTCAGGCGATTCTAATGTGCAGCCAAGATTGAGTTCCTGTAAAGAGGATCATCCGCCTCTTGTCATGTAAATGTGATACATAGAAAGCATTTTGAAATTTACTCTTCTTCTACAAGAGTGAGCTAAAGACGACCTATTTAAAATAGTGAATATATTTTTTTAAGATTTTATTTATTTATTTGACAGAGATCACAAGTAGGCGGAGAGGCAGAGAGAGGAGGAAGCAGGCTCCCTGCTGATCAGAGAGCCCGATGTGGGGCTCAGTCCCAGAACCCTGGGATCATGATCTGAGCGGAAGGCAGAGGCTTTAACCCACTGAGCCACCCAGGCGCCCCTAAAATAGTGAATATTTTAATACTTAAATCAACGTTGAGGATTCCAACCTTCTGCCATAAAAATCAAGGATTGCTTTTCTTGGCTATTGACTGGTTTCTGGAAATCCAGGTCACATCCTTCCCTGAGTCACAAAGTCTCCATCTGTATGTCAGCAGCACGTGGGACATGCACGTCCTCCCGGCAGACACCCCCTGCCGGTGGAGCGTGACGATGATGCCCCAGCGCCCCTGCCCTGCACTGGCTGACTGAGCGCTCTCTCTTGCAGGTACATCCCCACGGCGGCAGCGTTTGGCGGCCTGTGCATCGGTGCCCTGTCGGTGTTGGCTGACTTCCTCGGGGCCATTGGCTCCGGCACCGGCATCCTGCTTGCCGTCACTATTATTTATCAGTATTTCGAAATTTTTGTCAAGGAACAGGCTGAAGTCGGTGGGATGGGTGCTTTGTTTTTCTAAATGTTCCAGTATTTCTTCTTGTGTGTGTGAAAGGGAAAATAATTTTGACACATTGTTTTTGTCAAATAATGCTGTCAAATAATCCCTGTTTGTCAAATAATCCCTTTTCTTCCCTCACGGTTTGTTTTCAAGCGCTCACCGGCCCGTTTGTGAGATGGGCGCCGAGCTCAGCCTGTGTGCAGCATTAGTACCAGCTGCCTTAAAACTGAAGTTTACATTATTCGTTCAGAAATGTACTTGTAGTGTTGCCTGTGATGCTGGAAACCAATGTACCCGCCTTGCCCTGTTCACTTGTGACGGTGAGATGGTGACGTGGATCAGTTTTGCACACAACATTCAGAACACTCACTCTTCCCCCCACTTGTTTAAAAATAAATGTAGTTCAAATTGCCACTTTCCAGTATTTTTGAGCTTATTTAGTGAGTTCTGGAACATTTATATCTAATCTGTATTTTAGATATAATTAACTTTTTATACTTTTTTAACTCCTAGTATCCACGTTCCCACCCTCCCTCTCCGTCCCCTGCCCAATTCTTCCCCTCTCACAGCTGCCACTCCGCCCAGATGGGCAACACTGAGCTTCAGTTCCAGCTGTTCCTAAAACAACTGCTTGTAATTACTCCTGGTTTTCATTCCTTTCTTCCCAGTGACAGCAGTTGGTGCTGTTTTACTGTATTGGCTATGCCTTCGAATTCCAACACATCACTTGAGAATATTCTTTCAAGATACGATGCCCCAATTCTTCTCTTTTCTTTTTAATCCCTAAAGCAAAGATCTAATTCTCAAGCAATGTCTGTAGTTCAGTGGGGGTGAACAATGAGTAATTCGTGCTAGGAATCTGTGTATGTTGTTATACTTTACAGCAGCAACATGAGTGTAAACAGTAGAAAATAAACCTTTATTTAATAAAACTGTTTCAGTTGTGTTGGAAAAATAAAATCAGATATTAAATGATTTCTAAGATTATTTGTATAGGTTCATCATAATCATACAAAACCCATCCTGAGAAGTCTGTGGCAAGAGGTCAAACGTCATTACAGTTTAGTGTTTAATCCTAAAACTGTTGGGAAACAGGGACCAACTTAGAGGTGCTCAGTTATGCGACTAACTGTGGAAAGAATAGGAAAACATAGGACGATCTCAGATGTCGTCCTAGCCTCTATCCAAAATAGCAGAGTTCTTTATAAATTTTTAAATGGTGTAGTCTGTCAGCCACAAAGAGATCACATTTCACTTTTGAAGGCTCCTTTTCAGAAGTAAGGGTTTCCATTGTTTACTTTTTTAGTAAGCGCCGAATTACATCTTATTAGGTCCAGGATCACAAAACCAGTTACAGGGAGGCAGATGACACAAGGCCGCAGGCCAGCAACAGTGGTCATCTGGAGGACATCTCCTCAGGGCCTCAGACCCTTGTGACCATAGAAATGTGGATTCAGTGGTCATACGTGATTTTTTTTTCTTTTCTTCAAGAGAAGGTGGAAATAAGGGCTTTTTTTGGGGAAAACTTGATCTTCCAAATGCTGATAAATGACCAGTGTCAGCCATGGAAAACATCCAGACTGCTGGCTCTCAAGCTGACCTAACTTGCCAAGGACAGCGTTGGACGTTTAAAGGTTAATATAAAGGGCATTAGGGGTATGTTCTAGGATTTAGCTGTCTCTTGTGATTTGCACTCTTAGGAAGAGAAAAAGGTAGAAAGGACAGATAGAGGTTACAAAGATCTCTCTTCCACCAACATTTAAGAGTAGGTTTCTCAGTTTTTTCAGGGAGTGGCTTTGGAAGAGCTGGTCTGTTTGGAGACTGGTCTGTGCCCCGAGTCTGTATATTTTCCATATGCCTTGTTTCTTGATTTTTGAAGGAAGGCAGTTACCAGGGAGATTATAGAACTTGGTCTTTGGGAGCTCAGGGAGAAGGAATAAGATCTCTAGAGAATCATGATGCCTAGCATTAAAAATAAGGATTTTTTTTTTTTAAAGGTTTAGGGGCACAGGGGAAGGCTACTATTAGAGCAAGTAGTTGGGGGCCTAATTTTTGCAATATTTACAGAGTAGACTCAATCTAGTTAGTTCTCCAGTTTCATCCTTTCCTCCTTTGGTTAGAAAGTCTAATAGATCTTGGGTTTTTTTTGTTTTTTTAAAAGGGATGCATTTCCATTTTATTTGTTTATTTGACACACAGAGAGAGATCACAAGTAGGCAGAGAGGCAGGCAGAGAGAGAGAGGAGGAAGCAAGGCTCCCTGCTGAGCAGAGAACCTGATTCGGGGCTTGATCCCACCTGGGATCATGACCTGAGCTGAAGGCAGCAGCTTAACCCACTGAGCCACCCAGGTGCCCCTAGATCTTGTATTTTTGCTCACAAAAACATCTCTGGATACAGAGATGAACACAGTGATACACTGAGTACAGTGACCCTGTAGAAAAATGAACTATATTATAGCACTTTTGGTATTAGTGTCCTGGTTTTATCTGGTTTGAGGGGCCAGAGTGCAGGGCTGGAAACCCGATTTAGGGCTGGCCAGGGAGCATCACTCTGAGACTTCCACTGGGGGCTCAGCTGAAGGGTGATAGTTCTGGAGCTGCTGGAGGCCACAGAAGTCAGCACAAGGGCTAAGCACAGCCAAAAGCTGAGAAAACGGCCCAGGGACACTGGCAGACGTTTTGGGTGACGCGGGCTTTGGGCATGGCCTGAGCTGGAAACCGTGCCCCTGTTCTCCCCTGTAAGGTGTTGTACTGGGGTTCTGGTATTTGCTCTCCTTGCTGGCTACAGTCACGGTTCAACACCAAGACAGTGATGCCACCCAACCACATAAATGGATTTGGTTTTTGAAACTTCAAGTACTTTCTGAGGTAAGGACAGGAAATGAAATTCTAAAATATATATACCTGCTTGAGGCAAGGGCCCTGTATTTTCATTAGCTTCTTAACCTTGTTATAATGAATGGAATCAACCATTTTTCAATACCTAACAGCTTGTTTACCTTCAGTAGTTAGGTGGGTAGGAGGACACTAGCCAAATGTAAATAAATATTTGTTTCTCATGGATGTTATTCTCTGTTGATTTTACACTCTCTGCTCTGCAGGGATGTGTATTAATTCCAAATAGCAGATAATTAATAGAAGGACCAAGAAAGTCCCTGTATAGGTCTGTCTTCAAAAACAAAACAAAACAAAACACAACAAAAAAAAACCTTTGTTTAAACACTGATGTAGTAAATAGTTATTTGCATACCTAGTTATAGAAGTTTATATGGGGGCCGAGGGTGGGAATAATTGACCTAATTTGGAATTCAGATCATTTTTCTTCTAGAAATACTCCTGTAGACGTTGGACTACATTAGATAAGTAACAGCTGAACTTTAAAAATTAACTTGATTAAAAACAGTATCTGCATTTATGTTCTTTTTCATTAGCCTTTGCTGGAGTTTAGCATTTAAATGAAGACTACAGACTACCTGTAATTATACCATATCACCACATGTATTCTGTATTGCTTTTATTTAATGAAAAAAGCTAATTTCAAGTCTCCAGGAAGCTAAGCTGAATACAAAGTCTTAGTGAAGGAGGCCTGATGGTCTTACTTATAAAAACATGGCTACTGTCCTTTGGCCTTAAAACTTCAGGAAAGGCACTTCAAACGGCTTTGTGTTTGCATGTTTCAGTGCCAGAGCGTAGGAGTAGACCCTGGCATCCACGGTCAGATGTTCTTCCGCTACCAGAGCTAGAGGAAACAAAGCACACAAGTTAGATAATGAAGTTCATCAAGGACAATGCCCCTTATCAAACAGTCTGTCTTCACTGAGCTACTACTATGTGCCAGATGCTAGAGATCAAGTGGCAAACAAGACATTTTCTGCCTTCAAGGATCTTATTCTAGTGAGAAAGAAGATGAAAGGATATATAAGCAGGATTCCATTTCCAGCAAAAGACAAGAGCAAGAAAAAAGTGTAAAGGGAGAAGATCACACATTCAGGATGATTTTTGTGTTAAAACGGCAACATTCGGGGCGCCTGGATGGCTCAGTGGGTTAAGCCTCTGCCTTCGGCTCAGGTCATGATCTCAGGGTCCTGGGGTCGAGCCCCACATTGGGCTCTCTGCTGAACGGGTAGTCTGCTTCCCTCTCTCTCTCTGCCTGCTTCTCTGCCTACTTGTGATCTCTCTTTCTGTCAGATAAATAAATAAAATCTTAAAAAAAAAAAAAAAGGCAACATTCTAAGTTTGTGGATCAATTGTTTGTTTATAGCTCGTTATAGGGCTCAGTGGTGATTCAGTGGTGATTCTTCCATCCCTCATGGAGGGGTTCATTCGTTTTCTCCACCTCTAGGGAATACATTATTTTCTACACATAAGTTAAGCTGTGTGCATGACAGGACTGGAGTTCTAGCAAGAATGAGGTCTTAGGGGCTCCTGGGTGGCTCAATTAGTTAAGTAAGCATCTGCCTTTGGCTCAGGTCATGATTCTGGGGTCCTGGGATTGAGCCCCGAGCCCCGCGTCTGGCTCCCTGCTCACTGTCTGCTTCTCCGTCTCCCTTGCCCCAGTGGTGCTTTCTCTCTCTCTCCCTCTCTCAAGTAAAAAAAAATAGATATATACATATATATATTTTTTAAAGATTTTATTTATTTATTTGACAGAGATCGCAGGTAGGCAGAGAGAGAGAGAGGAGGAAGCAGGCTCCCTGTGGAGCAGAGAGCCAGATGCGGGGCTTGATCCCAGGACCCTGGGATCATGACCTGAGCCGAAGGCAGAGGCTTTAACCCACTGAGCCACCCAGGTGCCCCAAATATATATATATATTTTAAGAAAGAATGAAGTCTCAGAATCCTACATTGTACAGTGGGCTTTAAGGAGAACTCCTGTATCGCTCAGGTGGAGGTGATCAGACTTGGGATCTGTCACTTGTTTTCCTAGCCACTCGTTTAGGAACGTGCTCAGAGACATGTTGATCCTGGAAGGCAGGGTTATGGCCTCCTCCTCTGTGCGCAGCGGGAGCTTGGTAAGTGTTGAAAACTATTTCTTACAGCAAACAACTCAAAATACCTTCCCAAATGTTACTTGTTGAATAAATGGTTTGATTACTATATTTTGGCTCTAATAAAGCTAGGAAAAATGGTTTTTCTTCCCCTTCCTCTTTCTACAGATCTGTCCCTCTCTACCTTCCTTCCTCTTCTTCTCTGTCTTCCCCTCCTCTAAGGCTAGAAGGAGGCTGAGTTGGGTGGGAGGGAGAAGGAAGGAAGTTCTTTGCGAGAATATTTCCCTAAGACATAAAGCATTTAACATTTAAGCCCTCTAGTGCCAACATTATCATTTAATTTTCCTGCTGTCTCTTTGGAGACAGGGGCTACCTCTCGTTCCTGTTTAAGGAGAAAAGCGAGGAGAGGCTGTGGAACGTGTTCTGGTTCATGACTAATGGCACGGCGGGCTGAGCCTCAGACCCAGGCAAACCCGAAAGACTCTGAGTTGTGCTGTCCATTACTGGCAGCCAGAGATTTCTCTGGGTAAACCATGGCTTTCTTCGGTGTGAGTGTTTCTAACTCTGAGACTTGGTGCTTTTTACCTCAGGTCTAGTTTTTAAAAAGATAAAGTAGGAAGGGACGCTTTCTGGGAATTCTGAAATCACAGTCATTTTTGGAAACTCATACTATACTTACTTTTAAAACAACACGGACATCACAAATAAAATTGTAAGCCACTGGTTCTTACGGAAGGGGCGGAAGAGAGCCCTCAAAGTCTCAGGCCAAACAATGCTTCAAGTTACTTTTCGAAGTAAAAAATTTAAAACATTCAGATTAGGAAGACTATCTGTTTCTTTACAAATGAGCAAACGGGGCCCTCCCAGCTGGGCCTCTGTCTCCAGTACAGTATATCCTACTGTCTTTTCATCAGAGGACATTTGTCCACATGACCTTATTTAATTTTTTATCAAATCCCTCTGAGATGGGCTGGCTGGGAATGACATGATGGAACTACATGACCAGTGATTTCCTAGGGGTCACACTGCCAGTCTGGTTCACTGTATCACCGTTTTGCTCTTCATATACCTCAGTCTTTGTGGAAGGAATATTGTCAAATTCTCCTTTAACTTCTACCCTGCAGAGAACCATCCAGCAGGCACTAGGAGGATCAGCTGAGAGAGATCTGCTTAGGCCTCTGCACTGCCACGGATTAGAGATTTGAGGTATAGTTTTGGCAAATCTGCAGGAATATATCTTGACTCTTCCACAGGAGAAAACAAAACAATAACCCTACTCAAAGCTTTCACTTGACGCAGAATGTTCTGCTCACATTTTCAAACTCTGTGCCACCCAGAAACAAAAATTACTGTTGGGGAACTGCGGTTGTACAACAGTTTCTTCGGTATTTGACTTTAATGAGGAGGAATATAATTACAGAAATGGAGTTCTGTTTAGTGCCCCACTGGCTGGGGCTGGGGAAACATTGAGGAAGTTGGGGAATAGTCTTAAGAATGCTTACCATCCAGTCTCTTGAGCAGGTCATTCTTTGGTAAGGAAATTACTTCGACAAATTCTAAACAAACAAAGTGCACGTGAAAACAAAGCTGAAGAATAAGAGGGCCTACCAGAACACCACAAAATGCCTGCAGCCATTTCCACTGCGCTAAGCCATACACACGGTCAGCCACTGCCAGCTGGGTAACATACCTCCATCTCCTGAAAACAAACACAAGAACGACGTTGGAGCAAGGCCCGCTGTAGTCAAACACTGGAAGACTTTTGTGCAAGACATACTAGAAGTGTGTAAGAATTCAGCAGAAACCTGGGTCTCTGCTAAGTTCATCTGTGTACATGGTAAAAAGCATTCCAACAGTACAAAATCATTTCTGTTCTCCAAATGTGTAACAGCAACATTTAAAGCATGTTCTAGGAGATACCCGTATGTATTTTTAAGTTGTTAAAATATACAAAAGTCCCCATATTAACCATTTTTAAAGGTACAGTTCAGTGGCATTAAATTCATTCATTCTGCTGTGCCGTTACCAGCACCATTCTCATCCTCACAAAGAGAAGCTCGGTAGCC